TTTCTCTTTTAAATCTGCTCTGCATTTCAATGGTAAAATTACTTTCTTATGGAAAAATAAATGTTTCTGAGGAAAAGATTGAAATAGCTTGTTATGGAATCCCAAGGGAATCAGCACTTAATTTAAGTGTATTCCTGGGAGCCAAGTTTCCTATGCAGCCCTTGCTGCCAGCAGGCAGTGACTTAGCCAGGCCTGAGACTCAGCCAAAGGAGATAATAAGTGTCCATTGAAGGAAGGCAGGATGAATTGCCATATCTGCCGGTTCAGTGAAAAGCATGGATTGGGTGTCAACGATCCAAAACCTCCAGTGTCCTGACCTGGCAGAGCAAGTAATGCCCTGGCATCTTTTTTTAGTGAAAGATGGAAAGTACAGATTACATCCAATTAGCTTATGGTCTGTTAAACTTAGGGGCAAATATTTTTCCTGTTACCTTTTCTTTGACACTTCACAACAACAACATAAAATTTTGACAACTAATGCAAAGTATTTTCTTCATGGAATGGAAAACGTTCAGGCTTAACATATTCATGTGTAGTTTTCTGCTGGACTTTGTGTTCAGCAATGGTAGCAGTGAGTTCCTGTGTTCCATGACATCTGAGAATGCGTGGAAAGAAAAATGAACAGGAAAAGCTCCCTGTGTTGGGGGGGGCGAGGAGGGGGAGAAAAAAGTATTTGTTACATTCCAAAATCAGTCATAATAATGGAAGTTCACATCAAATAATTGGTAGAGTCAGAATGGACAAACATCTATCTTATTCATCCCTAGCTGTGCTAACAAAAATATGATATCCTGTTAGAGAAATCACCGATCATCCTGGTTTATTTTGGCGATTGCGCACCTTGGTATTTTTCCCTTTAAAAAGAACATTTCAGTACTTTATAGCCAGCATATCTCTAGTTCCAGGTTCATAGTTCATGTGCTTCTGTGACTTTGAGCTCTTCCTTTCCTGAGTTTACCAGCAGACAGCTGCACCAGAACAGATATGTTTACATGTGGGGAGTAAATGGCAACTTGCAGCTCAGAGTTTCCATTTCCTTTTACATTGTTCAGGAATCCAGGCTCACAATTCATCCTCAAGCTTTGCCTCATGCGTGTGCATCTGACTTGGCCCTTTATAGTACAAATGCTTTATTTTGACATTGATTTGTTGATACAAAGGGCTGACTGGGGAAAAGATACTTTCACTAGAAATTACCCTCAGTACACATCAAGTTCAATTGTGGGTGAAATAGCTTTTTGAAAAATATTCTAAACATCACTTTCTGTAAGGCTTTTAAGCATTATATCAATGTAAGACTAACGTGGAAGCACTTTATGCAGCTTTAGCAAGATAGATGTATTTTTAGATGGAGAAAAGTTACATTTTGTATTACGAATGATGGTGAAATCTGATTAGCTGCTTAACAAGCGACACTATTTAAGCTATCGTCACATGTAGGTGATTCCAGATGCTCTTGGTAAGGCAGTTATTACATGAAGGGGGTTATGATAATTATAAGCAAGAGACAAAATCATGAGAGTGATTTGTTCATTTGCCTGAACTCTGAAGTAGAATTAAAGACTCTAGTGAAGAGTTTGTTCTGACTTTACACCACCCGACAGACTTATCTCTGCTGCCTAGTTTCACCCCTGTGGCTTCTCCGTCCCCTTTGTCCCCTTACCTAATTTTGATATTTTGAGTTCTTGCTCTGAAAGAAAACTGTGGTTTATTGATTTTGGTAGCAGGAGGGGGTGAAGTAGATGTCACATAAATGATCTCTGGAAAGGCCTGTAGCAATTGTGTGTTGAGTTTTGCCTACTGGCAAGACATTATTTAACCATTTTGATGTGGTTTATTTCTGATATACATGTAAATTAATTGCTAGCTTTGACCTATAGCCCACTCTTAACAGTAATGCAATGGTAGTGCACTGCTGATACATGAAATTTTAATTTTTAATCCTCATTCCTTTATGATGCTTAGGCTCTAAAACTGAAACATAAAATGAAACAACGTGTTTGTACTTTAGGTTTTGCACTTTATATGACCACACAGTGAGATCCAGAAGGCAAAACAAGGCCTGGGACTGTAATAATACTGATCTAGGTCAGTATATGTTTGCCACGGAGTTGTGTTCTCAGCCTGGAAATGCAAATACCTATGTGTTTTCTGTGAGCTTGCTGAAGGCAAATAATTTACCTCTTTACTTTCATTAAAACTGCTTTAGAACTGTGTTTGTGGCCTGGAAATCAAAGCAAGCAGTTAACATCATGCTGGTACCTATTACAAACCCCCTATCTGCTTTCAGGGCAGCAGCCCGGGTAGCTGTGATTCATGGAGCTGGGAAATGGTCACTTGGCAGGGCATGGCATAAACAGGCATCTGGGGGGGAGCTGAAGCTGGGCAAAAATATACAGGCAGGTGGTAGTGCCCAAAATTTATGTGAGTTCACCTGTAATTCTCTTCTATTGACAAACCACTCATGAGAAATTATTATCAAAATAAATGGACCTGTGTATCACTTTAATTTTCTGTTGTTACATGTAAAGTGATTAGCTCCTCATGTACTACTTTCAATTCCTGTTGTTTCATTTAAAGTGATTAGCTGGTTTATCTCACGATCATTGAATGCAGAGTAGTTTGAAACTTCCCATTCGTAGTCTGTGTTTTTCATTGACGCTTTCATTTGAAAGCAGGAAACAATCTGAAAGTAATTGTATTAAGTGTTTCAGCACAAAGATTTTAAAATATAATAGCTTGGCATGTTATTCTGTCTTCTTACTATTCCTTGGAGGAAATAAAATGGAGTTGCTACTTTCATCCAGGCAGCTTTTCTACTACATCCTGTTTCCTTCCGCACACTGGAGAAAGCACTGACGTTTGTCTCCCTTTCCTCCACTTCCAATGAAAAAACCCCGGTCTCCATGTTGTAGCACTCACTCCGGTGAACTCTGATCCAGTATTTGGGTTGTTCAGGCAAATGGGAATTTTGACCTCCGTATCAAAGGGACAGTTGCACAGAATAGAGGGATATGCACAGCCCTGGCTGCCTGGGCTGCCCGATGGGTGGCTTGCTGTGCGAGCAGTTGCTGTGGAAGGCTGACATCTCTCCTTTTCTCCCACTGAAAAGCAGACTTGCAATCCCCCCTTTCTCAGAGGGAAACTGACCCTTGAAAAGGCTTGGCATGAAATGGATTAACTCCCTGGAAACTTTGTTTGGAAATGTTAGGAGACTGCTATGTATATGTGCTGGCAATCTCTGAGAGAGACAAATTATTTTCCCACCCTCTCAAGCACTTGGTAGTTTATCTGTTGTTTATATTAAAGATTGATTGTGGCTATATATTCCTAATTCAGGGTTCCCATTAATCACCCTATGCCACGTAAGAGACTGGAGAAGAAGAATGAGGGTTACTGGAAAGCAGAAATGTGATCCCTGGCTCTGCTTTTAATGTGACTTATCCTGGCATTAGCTTTGCTCCTATGAATTACTGAGTTTGTGTAAACATCTTTTCTTCCACCCCCCCCCCCCCCCCCCATGTTTGGTGTGTCTGTTTTTCTCAGGGCTGTTTAGAAAAAGATGATATGCTTATTACAATGATTGAGGAGAGTGTTAATCATGACACTTGCCATGTTGCTATTTCAAGAGGTCCCTGCTCCCCCCAGCAGACCCACCCCCTTGTTTGCTACTACTTGCTTCCTCTCCCGGCCCCAGCAGCCATTTCCTCCCTCAGAGCAGATCCAGGCAATTGTTTCAGCCTGTGCAAAATGAAGAAGGGGTGGAAAAGGACCAGTGGGGTTAGGACAAATGCACAGAGGCTGGGACTTCCTAAAGCGCATCGGCTGCCAACAGCGAGATACTTTCTGCCGCAGCAACAGAGCAGATCTGTGTGTCCTCCTCCTTGACCCTGCTGAAGGCTGCCAATCCTGAAATGTTCAATCAGCCGCTTGTGGTCCCTTCCCCTCCTAAGCATGAGAGACAAAACTGCTGGCAAGAGGGAAAGAGAAGGGAATTTACGAGTTTTTACAAGTTGATTTGGGCTATGAGAACACGTTCCCAGCCCTGCTTGGAGTCAGGTCCAGAAGCTGGTTTCCCACCCTGACTTGTCTGCCTTCACAGAAGTCCCTTCACATCTTTGAGAGGTGTGCCCAGCTCTTTAATGTGTTCTGGTGGCAAGTCATTGCATTGGTAAACTTTCAACCAACAGATTTAATCCTTTACATTTTTTATTTGCTTGTCTTTGCCTAATATAAAGAAATTACTTGGATTTTAAAAGAAGCAATCGAAATAATTTCTATTTGACAAATCAGAAGAAGTTAGCTCTGAAGGGACTGGTATCATTCAATACAATTTATCTTCTCTTTATTTGTAGCTCCACTAAACATACTTTGCCACGTGTATCCTAATTCTGCACAGATTTTTCTCTTCAGTCATGTTATATTCATGTCTGACTTCTTAGGTGCAAAATCTCATTATTAGATTCGTTATTTAACAGCATATTCAACACTGAGATGTGACTGTAACTGCTGATTTGTGTTTATAACTAAACATCCTCTCCACAAAAGCAAGAGATCACTGGAAGTTCTGCAAACCATTAATTGTGTTGAAAGCACATCTTTAGTGTAATCAAAGGAGGAGGAATAACATAGGAAAGTCTTATATCTGAAGATTTGCAATCATTTTACACATAATTGCACAGAAACAGGGATTTTAGAGGACTAGGTATTTTTAAAATATTTTGGTTCAAACTAATTTAGATTGCTTGGTTTTCCCCCCCGATGTAACTACCTTTGATGGCATATTGTACATATAAGAATAAGAGAATTTATTTCTGAGTTGGGAATAGGTTTTTAATCAGATTCAGTAATGTAAATAGACCTCTATTTAAAAGTTCATTCAAAACTGAGTACTGGTGTGTATTTAAGTGCACTATATGCTGAAGTAGAAATATCCCCCAGTGTTTAACCAAAAGCATGTTTAATGTGTGGTTTTGTTTTGTTTTTTTAATGTTTAACAGTAACTGAAGCTGGCTTTGGTGCTGACATTGGGATGGAGAAATTCTTCAACATCAAATGCAGAGCGTCTGGCTTGGTTCCCAGTGTGGTTGTACTTGTTGCTACAGTGAGGGCTTTGAAGATGCATGGAGGTGGGCCAAATGTAAGTTTTTGCACCTTTCTTGGAAAAATCAAATTGTTGCTAATATTTGAAATAAGTAAAATAGCTTGATTTAAGAAATATTTGGGGTGGTCTATGGGGCAGTATTTAGATAACCCTTCTGAGATGCCTCATTATATAGATGTTATCACTGAAGTTAACGCTATCTCTAAAATTAAGCCACAAATTAAAGAAGAGGGACGAAAGAGCTCTGAAGAAGCACTATATCTTGCAGAGCAAGGGAAGTTTGTTGCATTAAAAAAAAGATGTAAGATATATATATTTTAAGTGCACTGAAGTTGTCACAGGCTGGGAAATTTGATGGCTGAGGAGGAATGAGACGAGTTTGAGTTGCAGTGTGTGAGTGGAAGTAGAGCATTGTTGGTGAAGGTTTTGAGATTTCTTTCACTTCAGTAATGAGTACCCCTTATGTCCTTTTATTTTGCTCAGATTAATTCCCTTGGGCATTTGAAGTAACTGATGAGATTTTGTTTTCCTGGTGTACCAAGAGTCACCAATGTATCATTTTTTGCTGTCTAAGCCACAAAGAGATTTTACAGATTACTGATTGTAGAAATGTTCCCCAAAAGTGCAATCAGATCAGACTCTGCTAGCCAAGCAGACAGACACTTAACTCCTAGGAACACTTTCATCTGCCCAGCAGCATGCTGGAGAGTGATGCTGCCAGGGAAACTGTAGCGATGGGTGAAAATACCAGAGCTGTTTCCACAGCCACAACATTTTAGAATGCATGGTTTCCCTTACAGCTAATCTCCTCTAAGAGTTAAAGCTGAGCTACTCTTTTTCAGTCTTTCAGGTTGATACAATGATATAATTTTCTATCATTTTAGTACACATCTAATACATGCTTTCTTTGTTTTGAATTATATTTCTCCATCCCTATCAGGGCACGTATATTTTCACATGTGTTATCACTCAATCTAGCAAAAATAAGGCTTAAATATGTCTTAATAACTGTCTCTATTTCTGTCTCACTTGTGTCCTTAGAAGTTTAAAGATTTCATTTGTTTACAAATGTGATACATTCATCACTGAGGCATGTAGAGTACCAGATACATTTACTGGGAGGTTAACTATAAAAAGGACTAATGCTAGAGACAAATGTGAGTAAGTCTGGTGCCTGAGACTGAAGTTATGTAGTCCTTGGGGACTGAGTACAGTACCCTCGTGATGCAATCTGCACGTATACCTTTGTGCTTCCCAACAAATTACTTGCATGCAGTTCCTTGCCATGGGCAGTAATTAAAGGACATCAAAGATGATGTTCTTCTCTGCTGCTGTTACTTCTTCAGCTGTTGGAAGTTGCTGCCTATTGTCTTTTCACTGCTGGTGTGCTGTAACTATATGTAGAAAGAATGGAATCCAGCTGCCTAACCTAGTAGTCTTTTGCAACTAATTGCTGAGGCACTACCTGTGTCTCGCTACCCAAATACACTTTGTGTGCTGGTGCAGCTTGGAGTAAAACACAAGCTGCAGTCAGGCTGTGATGCTGTGTGCACTGGTATGAGTTACCTGGCAGTACAGAAAGCAAACAAAACTGCACTTCAGACCTTTTAGGGTTATGACAAGTATCAGTCTGTGATGACTGTTTATTATTACCTTATCCCAGGTAACTGCTGGTGCCCCCTTGAAGAAAGAATACACAGAAGAGGTAAGAGGAATTGTTATAAAACTTACAAGAGGTTTTTGTTTAAAGGAACAAAATAATATGATGTACTAATAATATGGAGAATCAGAACTTCTCCTTTCTCTGGCTGGACAGTGTGCAGCCTCAGGTTTGACAATACTATGCTCTAATGCTGACATGCAGTGAACATATCTAACAGGTATTGCCAACAAATAAAACCACCTCATCTTCCCTCAGCCCCTTTGTTTTATCCCTCTTAAGTGTATGATGTGTGTGACTGGATTGTAAGAAGGAGCTGAAATAGCTGAAAAATAACCTTTTTTCAATATTTTTCTAGGACCACTAAGTTTTTAGACTGATCCACATACAGACATTTATAGAAGCACAAAAGCAGAGAGGTGTAGGAGTCAAGGACACTCCCTGAAATTAATGATAGCATAACTTGTTCATTAAACAACAAGTTTAATGTGTTTATGCTTCACATTTGGGGTGGGATGTCACTCTTCAAACAAAGAGTGAATTCTGCTGGTTTGTTTTCTTTGTCGCTTCACTCCAGACAAATTCTGGTCTTCTGCTTGTATGAGGCCAAGCATATGTGTTTTGCTACAACTAAGACAAAGCCTACAAAGTGTGAGGTAAAAGAGCAAATAAGGAAATCCAGTAATGTGCTTTAATCTGGGTTATGTATGTGTATATATGAATGCTGCATCTAACACATCTGTATGCCAAACCCCACCCCGTTACTGCAGTCTGTTTATAACCTTTGCAAACAACAGACTAACATCCCTTTCACAATCATGACAAGCAACCAGGCATCAGCTGTACCATCTTCCTGTGTCTCAGAGCAATGGGTTCGTGTAAAATTCTGGACACTGCTTACTTACTTAAATATGTCTGATGCTTATTAATTGGAATGAGAAATAATAAGTGCCAGAATACTTTCGTCTGGAAGAATTTCACTTGCCTGCAACTGTCATGATCAGCACTGTTTATGTTCACTTAAATTTATGGAAAATTCTTTGGCTGGAGAAGACTTTATGTATCTTACCATTTCCATTAATTTTTATTTAATTGCACAGAACCTCCAGCTGGTAGCTGATGGCTGCTGTAATCTACAGAAACAGATTCAAATTACTCAGCTCTTTGGAGTTCCTGTTGTGGTCGCTCTAAATGTCTTCAAGTAAGTCTGTTATTTCATTACTCCTGGGAGTAAATACACAGTTCAAATACCTCACTTTTCTTGGTTTTCAAATTATTCAATTATTTAAAAATTTCCATTTAGCATGAACAAATAAGCTATTAAAGAATTTCCTTTTTTCATCTTGAATATAAAGATATTTAAGTTCTTAGCTTGTTCTCAAGGTTTTAAAACAAGCAAAATAAAGTATATACTATTATGCAGCTGATAATTTTCCATGTTAATTAGATATAACAATTACAAAATTTTCTGGAAACATGTAAGTACATATGCTATATATAAATGCATTATGTATGTGGCACAATTTCTATATATACCTGCTTTACCATTGCTGATGGTAAAATAAGGCTAAGTTTATAAGGCTGTAAAAGAGAACTAATTAAACAGAATAATGTGATGGGACTCTTTGGTTGGCAGAACTGACTCTCCAGCTGAGATTGATCTGGTGTGTAAGATTGCAAAGGAGTCTGGAGCATTTGATGCTGTACCCTGCAATCACTGGTCAGCTGGTGGTAGAGGAGCAATAAAATTAGCTCAAGCTGTGGAAAAGGCAGTCAATCAGAAAAATAGTTTCAAATATCTCTACAGTTTGGAGGTAAGATTTCCTTTCTTTCTTTTTTTTTTTAATGAACACATTCTGCATCAGAGTTGGATTTAAAACAAGAAGAACATTGAAACAAAGTTATCTAAAATACTTGGAAATGAACTTGCCTTGCTTTCAAATCATAAAAGCTGGAGAGAACAAGCAATCTGTGGCTTATCTAATCAGGGAGCAGGATACTCACTGGTAATGATTGTTACTTAGTGCATTGAACAATACATCTGATACTTCCATGTTTAACATAAAAGTATGAATACAGATGGAATACTCACCAGTTATTTTGGGAGACTTCTCCAAAGATCTCACAGTGGTAGTAATTGTCCTGTCGGTCGGATAAAAGGAGATGTAGTTGCTATCTCAGGCACAGTATTGCACCAAGTTGTGGCTTCCTGAAGCAGTCACTGTGTGTATGAGAAGGATGTGACAGGTCCATGCTTATCCCACACATCTGCCCAGCCCAGCAGGACAGCACAGAGAGAAAGCAGTGCCCTTACCTGCACCCAACTACACAGCACAGCTCTCAGGTGAACACAAAGAGCGCCGACGACCCAGTCCTGCTCCTGCTCTCCTGATGATCAGATTGGAGTCTGCCAGTACGATATGGTGCACACAATACATGGGTCACTGCTGCTGCTGCTGGCCCCAGGTCCTCAGTCTATTCAGGAGCAACCCCCAGGGCTTCTGTCCTGCTCCAGCTGATGGCACCAGAGTCCACAAGCCCCTGAGGTTCGCAGCTCACTAAGCTGCTGTGCACAGCCCTTTCCTCAAACTCTCTGTCCCCATATGTACATGTACACATTTAGAACAGAGAGTACACCCACGCAAAAAGTAGTCAGAAACCAGATTTAATGAGAATAGAGTGGTCCTCAAGTATATAGCTCAGTTAGGCTACTGGCCAGACACCTTTACACACAACTGACCCTTTCTTCCTTTATTCTCTCCTTTGCTTCCCATGCTTCCTTTTCAATCCACCTTGATTACTCCCTTTCCCCATCTTTGCTACTTCCACTAAACAATATTTACACATTCCCACAATCCTCTTTGAAGATCCCATCATAAGGTTCACACAATCCCAAAATCTGCTTTTTCAGACATCCCATAGAGTCCTGTGCTGCTGTATGCAATCACTTCCTTTAATTTGCAAAGTTTTCTGATCACAGAGTTTCCCCATTCACCCACCTTGGTGCATTTCACATCAAGGACAATGGTCTCATCTTCCCCTTGGACTGTCATAGAAAACAGAATTCAGTGTGCTCTAATTTTCACTGATTATGTTTTTTCCAGTGGTTACATTACAGAGGGTTCTTCCACCTATTATTGTTCCTCTGATCCTTTGCTGGGGCTTTGGGGCTAATTTGCTTACCCCTTAGATAACCTAACAAAGGATAGTGTGGTCCAAGTTTCAATTTTATATCTGCCGGAGTTAGTGACTCTCTTTCTATGCTTGGAGACTGTTATTGCAGTTGTCTGCAAGGTAACATTACAGAATTGTGAGCTGTTAAGAGGAGCTTGGAGACCCCTGGGAGCACTGGAGGTGCTGAGGTACCACTGTGTGGGCAGAACATTTGGAGGGACTATTGACAAGAAGGTTATACAAATGATTTCTCAGGGCCTTCCTGGCTATCCAAATGTGGGTGGGTTTAAATCTGAGCAGCCAAATAGCCTTCTCTGGCTCCAAAGAAGCCCTTGTCAAGTTTCAGATTCTGTGCCCATGCTACTTAAGTTCCTTTAGAAAATGTTCAAATGCTATTTTTTTACAACAGAACCTCAGTTTCATTCTTTTAAATGGCTGGATGTCCCTGTTTTGATTCTTCTCTCCAGAAAAAAGTTCAGCCTGAGGTAGATGTGCCCTACGGTCATCTTTCATTCTCTTTTCCCCTTGATATGCACCCTGTATCTGTTGCACCCATTTTGTTTTTTCTTTCCACCTCCCCTGCTGCTTTACAAAATGTCAATAATCCAGTCAACCTATGTCAGTATTAATCCCTGCTCTGACAGAATAGATGGAAATATGTTGATAATATTAGTGCTGCAGCATATATTCAAGGCATTTGCCCATGCAACATATTTACAGCTGAAAAATGGACAATGTGTAAGCCTTTCTAAGTTTGTCTCTACTGAGATGCTCTGAAAACTGAGGCTATCATCTTATGGGGCTTGTGTAATAAAACAGGGGAAAAAATTCTTTGAGAAATACATGTAATAGTTTTCCCCAATGGACACTTTTGTTACAGGGATAGCACATTAGCCTTTGACAAGGCTCATGCTTAAGCTCTGATTTCACTATACACTGTGCAGCTTACAATCTCGTGGTACGAGTGAGTAAAAAGGATTGGTAGGGGTGTACTCTGCCTATAAAGAAAATCAGATTGATTTCCACTTTAATGTCTTTCCCAGACACATCGTTTCATGCTGTGTTGAATAAGCAGCATGATCTTAAGCACAAAGGGAATGAATCACATCTTTATATCAATTTAGTATCCCATAACTTCACACAAGTATTGTAAGCCTCAAAAATACGTTGAAGGGATTTTATAAAAACATATAAAGATTTTTAAATACTGTAAAAAAGTACATTCAGGCCAACAAAAACAGTAAAGTGTAAAGTTCAGGCTTCTGTTTCATCCTTATTGTGCAAAGGATGGGGACTGAAGCAGCTGGAAGTAGGAGAGTGAAACAGCAATGCTGTCACTTTTACAGTATGTAGGTCAGTTGGTTACTAGGCTCAGAGAAAAGTGAGGGAAAACCTCCTTTCCCAAATAAGCCTGCCCTGATTATTTTTTTTTTTGTTATAGCAATTTTGAGGTGTGTTTTCTGCTGTTCAAAGGCATAAAATTAAGAAATTTAAGGAAGATAAGAAGCAGTAAAATGGAATTTAGACAGATTATTTCCCCTCTCATTGTGCCTAAAGAGGGTGTAAGTGAAAGGATATATTTCCATCTCTTACCTTATTGTCAGATTTGTCAGTTACTGGAATAATATTAAGTCCTGGTTGCCTCAAGTTTCACAGGATTTACTGTGGTTGGTTTTTTTTTCTGTTTTCTTCCCCTTTTGGAAGGTCAAAGAGGAGAAATACTCTGCTTAAAACCACTGCTTCTTAATTCATATATCTGTCTGTCTTCATGAGATTGCTCTACTGTTCCCTTTACTCCACGTCTCTTTTTAATCCTTTGATATCTATGTATCTTGTTTTCCTGTCAGAAAACTTCATCAGAATTGCTTCCAGAACTGGCTATAACTGGAAAAATTTCCAACAGCACAGACCATTTTAGCTGTAACAGGTTCATTCAATATTTTGATCTTTTGTTAGAAAGCATCAGCCAGGGTATTTAAAAAAAAGAGCTTCAAACTCTTATATGTAAAACTGGTTTATATCCTTTCTTTCTATTTAGAACAAACTTTGCAGTAAACTATATTATTAGTGTGCAGACATGTATTATTAGTGTCAGATATGTAATTAGAGCATAGCCCAGGTCAAGTAGGCTCTCTTTGTTTCATTTTTTTTCCAAATACATTCATCTCTGTAGTGCTTTATGTAATTTCTAAATATATCTTTGGAAACAAAAGCTTCCTTGAAGGATGTTTACAAATGTGTATAGTGTGAGAAGAGCACTAGAAGAAAGTATTTTCTAGATCTGTAAAATGCTGGTTAAAAGTTGAGAATCAGCTGTTTTTTTCTGAGGTTTATTTATACATTTATACCATCTTGTCCAGTGATACCTGAGCATGTGTCGAATGAGCAGTTTTAGATACTGGACACAACACAGTTGTGTCAGTTCAAGACTCAGGCTCTGCTCCTGTTCAGTATCATAGCAAGCTAGTCTAATTAGACGCCTGTGCTAATTTTATTCCTTGAAGCATCTAATTTGGTCTCTTTAAACTTCCTTGGGTGTCATTCCATGATAACTTTTCTACAGTCCCACTTTTAGATGGCTTTTTGGGCTCTCTTTATTTATTTCTTTAAGCAGGCAATATTTATTTTTTTTATCCCAGTGGCTGCTGCTTGTAGTTTGACTTTTTTTTAGTCTTCATTGTAGCAAGTGTTTGTGTGACATTTGGTGTAAGATGAACAAATATTTTTGGGGAATAGCTCATATATGGTTTTGGGGGTGCATATGTGTGTGGCAGTAATTTCATGGATCAAATACCACCATGCCACTGTAAAAGTGTAAGAAAAGGACAGAAACAGAGTGTACCCCAAAATAGTATAGTATGTGGTTCAGGAGCAAGGATGAGTTTTCATATCATAGACTTCAGAGTTTATAACATAGCTTAAAATATTATTGGCAGTAATTGAAGTAAATACTGTGGTATTGTGTGGTTTTAGTATGGATTTTTGCCCCCTATGCACAATAACCTCTATTAAGTTACTGTTGAGTTGGTTTCTTGCAGAGTGTTTCTCTTCAGTGTTTGAAGGATGGGTTTGTTTAAAAGGCCTCCTGAACTCTTTGTGAAATATCTGTGGCAGCTTATTTTAATATCTATGCTTGCTACATATGGAAAATATCAAAATATCAATCCTCTTATCACTGTTGACTTCCCTTCTGGGTTCAGTTTTCTTGAAGTATAGGTCTTTAAGTTGCAGCAGAAAGCTATTACTCAAAATAAAGTTGACTGAACCATTAAAAGTAAGTTTAGATAACTAGGGGGAGGAAAGGAGAGGATGGAAACACATCCCATTCCCAAATTTCTCTGGCTTCAGTGCCTGTTCTTGATCAGGAGAAAGAGGGAAGCTGTATTCCTCACTAATGTATGCCTGCTGAGTGACCTGCCGTCACTATCCTGGTCTCCTCTCTTCTGCTGTGGTGACCTCTCCCTTGACCTAGGGCAGCCCTCCTCAGCCTGGGACAGGAGCATAGGCAAGAAGAAGGCAGGCATTAGGTTTTTAAGAGACACATCACCCCTTCCTGCAAGCAGCTGGAGTGGAGTGGGCACTCAGGAGGTAGAAGAAAGGAGGATGGGCATTTGGCCTGAAGCAGGATCAGCACATCTGG